TTGTCTTGTCAACTGTGGGTAATTGTCAAGGCTGTTCTCCACTCTGACAAGATGAATGCAGAAGTTGGGGCCCCACAAGAGCACTCCAAAACCTTGCCTCTACAGGTTCTGGTACAAAAACTTCCCCCCACAAAATCCTAATACCCAGATTTTGTGGGATCTGCTACCCCCATCAAGTGCTTTTGAATCCCAAAATAAAACAAACGGGTGGACACTTAAAACCAAACCCTGGCGTACCCCAAATTCTTTTTCCCCAAAAGAGCTTGAAAAAGAAAAGAGAAAAACAAGCTGCAGTCTGTGGTAGCTGATCCATCAGTCAGAGGTGTGCAGATACACACAGATGGACCATCCAGGACACACAAATAAACTAATACTGGTTAATTAGAAAAAAGAAACAATCTTTTATTATCAAAACAAAACTATAGTTGCAAGCATAGTAGATTTGCTAGATGGAAAGAACCACCATTTGATATAGGGTATGGCTACATGTGTGGGTTTTTTCAAAGAAGGTAAGCAAATTGCACTCACATTTGCATATCTTCTTCTGGTTTTTTTCCGATATTTGGCCTGTCTAACGGGGGCAGATGTCTGGGGAAAACCCCTCTTTCGGAAGCACCCTGTATACCTTGTTTTACAAGAAATAAGGGGGCTTCCAAAAGAGGTTTTTTTCTGACATTTGGCCCCATGTAGATGGACCAAATATTGGAAAATCCTCTTCTGGAAAAAAAATGGAAGAAGATATGCAAATTCGAATGCAATTTGCATACCTTCTTTGAACCACCTCCTCTCCTCCCCTCCCCACACAGTGTAGCCATACTCATAGATACTCAGGGGAAAATCCCTGGGCTATAAGGCTTAGTTACTAAAGAGAAAAAACAATGACCAAGCTCAGACTTTATTTCCAAACCCCCAAACAAGGGAAGCAATAAACCCTGATGGACTATTTAAAACTTTTCCCTACTTAAACATTTTAAGAAGTCCATTCTTGGAGAGAGAAGCATCTCCCATCTCCCTTAATACCTGGGAGAAACTACTCTGGATCTCAAATAAAGGAGAGAGAGAGAAAAACTCCTCTTTTCCTGTTTGAAATTCCTACCTGCATTGTTATTGGCTGACTGCCCGACACGTTGGCTAGGTACATGAGTTAATCCCTTAGTCACTGGGTGCTGGTCAGCACTCCTGATTATGATAGTAATACGTCCAGTTTCATGAAGTGTACAGAAAGCATTTAGTTCCATAGCCAGAGCTTTATGAAAAGCTTGGGTTTCTGGAAACCTACTGCAGCCAGCTGTGGTCTTTGGTAGGAGACTGCAGGCTGCTGAGTGTCAGATGTACTGTGAAAATGCATTCATGGTTCCAAGGCTGGTCTACACTAGAAAATTTGTTATTTACCGATGTGTCTCTCAGGGGTGTACAAAATCCACACACCTGAGTAACTTAGCTAAGATGACCTAAGTCCTGAATATGCAGCACTAGATAAATAGAGGTAAATTATCTACATGAATCACTACAGTGATACAGCTGAAGCATGTAGCCGCTTCAGTGTAAACTAGCCCTTAATTTTACTCTTAACTGAGGCACCAAAAATATTCCAGGGAATGATAATGTTAATGATAGGAACAAAATTTACTTTTAGGGATTATGTCCTGTTTTTTTTTTTTTTTTTTTTCATGACTATATTTTTATCCCACTGAAAAGAAGCTCTGAATCTCCTCTCATTAGTTTGAGATGGTAGCAGAGTATTTGAATGTTCTATTTCTCTTGTTACTGGGCTTATCTCATTTTAACAATAAAAGAAAAACACACTTTCTTCTCATAATCCATGAATCTCAGTGAATTTTCTCAGACTTCTAGATTTACGTGGAAATTTCTTTCTCTAGTAAAGACAAAAGTCCAATAAGAGCTCTAGTATACACCAAACAGAGTTTGTTGTTCAGACTGTTGGAAAGGAACTTTGGGCTTGTATTCACTACACGGTGGATCAGCGCAGCATCAATCGATATACCAGCGGTCAATTTATTCTTCCACTCTGCTACCTACTGATAAGGCCTTAACTGGAAAACTGTGTCCTGTGCTGGGCACCGCACTTCATTTTTCCTGAACAACAAAAATGATTGAAGGCAGAGCTGAGAACTGGTACCTCTGGGCTTGGCAATCTTTCTCCATAAAGAAAAATTGAAAAAATTGGGTTTGTTTAGTCTGGAGAAGAGAAAGGGGAGCATAAACCGACCAGTAGTAAAGGTTGTTATAAAGAGGCGAGTCATTTAATTGCTCTCGTTAACCCCTGAGGACAGGACAAGAAGGAATGGGTTTAAATTGCAGCGAGAGTGCATTAGGTTAGCCATTAGGGAAAACTTGCTAACTATAAAAATAGGAAAAACTAGAGCACTAGAACAAATTACCTTGGGAGGTTGTGGAAGCTTCATCACTGGACGTTTTATAGAACAGATTAAACAAACATGTCCTGGATGTCCTACCTCAGTGCAGGGTCTGGTGTAGTTGACCTAGTGAAGTCCTTTCAGGCCTACATTTCTGTGATTCTATCAATATCATCTCTGCTCTCTCAGCCATTGTTCATATGCTATGCTATGCAGCTCTGTCTCACTAATGTGATTACTTTCATGGGTATTGGGGATTAGAACTGGTTCATTGCTGCAGCAGCATTCTGACACTTCGTGTGCAGCTGAGTAGACACAATCAAATCAAAATGTAAATGGTTTTGATGATTTTAACTCCCCTCTCTCACAATCCACTACCAATCTGTCTCTGAGCACAGGATCAAGCTGCTACTAAAACTAGGCTGCACAAAACTCTTGAATGCAATTTTACATAATAGAGTGTAGCAATAACTCTCATAAAATCAGAACACAAGTCTCCATGCTTCCTATAGCATCCATTCATCCAGATGTGGTTTTGCCTAACGTTACTCCCTTGATGTACTGCTTACTATTGTGGATGTATGAGAGGATTTTATAAGGGAGAAAGCATGATTATCTGAGAGTATAAAGTTACTGCAGGAAAACTATTTTATTGCAATAATTGCTTGGTTGATTCTTGTTGCAGCTTATTCTTCTCTTGTCCTTTGAATATATCTGTGTAATTTCACCCATCCTCAAAATCCTATATTGTAATGATATCTTAAGGGTGTTTATACCACTGTGGTCAGAACTGATCTTTCTTGAAGCCTGATAAGGAAGAAACTGTTACAGTAGCTCAGTGAAATTTAGGTTTAGCCATTCTAACTGAAACCAAATAATTAAGGCTTTAAAGTTTATTTCCTCTATACAAAAGGATCTGAGATTCTGGTGAAAGAATAGGTTGAAGGGGTTAACAAGCATGTGGATAAGGGGGATCCAGTAGATATAGTATACTTGGATTTTCAGAAAGCCTTTGACAAGGTCCCTCACCAAAGGCTCTTGTGTAAATTACATGGCCATGGGATAAGAGGAAAGGTCCTTTCTTGGATTGAGAACTGGTTAAAAGACAGGAAACAAAGGGTAGGAATAAATGGTAAATTTTCAGATTGGAGAGGGGTAACTAGTGGTGTACCCCAAGGGTCAGTCCTGGGACCAATCCTTTTCAACTTATTCATAAATGATCTGGAGAAAGGGGTAAGCAGTGAGGTAGTAAAGTTTGCAGATGATACCAAACTGTTTAGGATAGTCAAGACAGAAGCAGACTGTGAGGGACTCCAAGAAGATCTCACCAAACTGAGTGACTGGGCAACAAAATGGCAAATGAAATTTAATGTGGATAAATGCAAAGTAATGCACATCGGGAAAAATAACCCCAACTATACGTACAGTATGATGGAGGCTAATTTGGCTACAACAAATCAGAAAAGGGATCTTGGAGTTATCGTGGACAGTTCTCTGAAAACTTCCACACAGTGTGCAGCGGCGGTCAAAAAGGCAAATAGGATGCTAGGAATTATTAGGAAAGGGATAGAAAATAAGACCCAGAATATCTTACTGCCCCTGTATAAAACTATGGTACGCCCACATCTTGAATACTGTGTACAGATGTGGTCTCCTCACCTCAAAAAAGATATTTTGGCCTTGGAAAGGGTTCAGAAAAGGGCAACTAAAATGATTAGGGGTTTGGAACGGGTCCCATATGAGGAGAGGTTAAAGCGACTGGGACTTTTCAGTTTAGAAAAGAGGAGACTGAGGGGGGATATGATAGAGGTCTATAAAATCATGAGTGGTGTGGAGAGGGCCGATAAAGAAAAGTTATTTATTAGTTCCCATAATAGAAGAACTAGAGGACACCAAATGAAATTAATGGATAGCAGGTTTAAAACGAATAAAAGAAAGTTCTTCTTCACACAGCATGTAGTCAACCTGTGGAACTCCTTGCCAGAGGAGGCTGTGAAGGCTAGGACTATAATAGAGTTTAAAGAGAAGATAGATAATTTCATGGAGGTTAGGTCCATAAAAGGCTATTAGCCAGGGGATAAAATGGTGTCCTTGGCCTCTGTTTTTCAGAGGCTGGAAAGAGATGGCAGGAGACAAATCGCTTGATCATTGTCTTCGGTCCACCCTCTCTGGGGCACCTGGTGCTGGCCACTGTCGGTAGACAGGATACTGGGCTAGAAGGACCTTTGGTCTGACCCAGTACGGCTGTTCTTATGTTCTTATGTAATAAAGTGAAGTATTCCTATAAAAAAATCAGTTTTAAAAATCAGGTTTAAAGAGGAAATATTTCACTGAAGTCTAGACGTTTCACTGATCTTTAAAGGTGACTAAACAAATTAAAATTGTGCTTGGTCAGAAAAATGAGTCTATTTAATGAGACTTTAATATTTTTAGTCATTTTTAAAACATCTACGTCATAATGGGAAATATTTACATATGTGCAACGACTTAAATATTTCCTGTTATGACACAGAAGTTTTAGACTTAGTTTAATTTACATTTATGAGTTTTGAATCATAATCTCAACATTGTAGATTTTTATTTATGCTGTATACTTACTGTTTTTCTTTCTTCACTTTTCAGAGTACATTTGTTAATAGGCCTGCTCTTGGGATTTTACCTCCAGAGAATTTTGCTGAAAAATTAAAGGAATCTTTGCTTTCTGTAAGTTTAAAAATGAACTAGGATGATTTACCATATTCTAAGTCTGCATATCTCAAAAATACATATATGGTATGAAACTCCACTGAAAAGAAGGATCTGAAATTTCTGTTGTATTAGTAAGTTGCAAAAGAATGATCTAGATAATGCTTAGTCCTCCCATGAGTGCAGGAGATTGGACTAGATGATCTCTCAAATTCCCTTTCAGTCTCTAAAGCCTAGAGGTTTTTAAGTCCCAGCTTGAAAAAGCCCTGGCTGGGATGATTTAATTGGGATTGGTCCTGCTTTGGGCAGGGGGTGGACTTGATGACCTTCTGAGGTCTCTTCCAGCCCTATCATTCTATGAACGTTACTTAATCACAAATAAGAAATTATGCTTTGTATACTTATCTTAAATTCTTCCCCCTAGAATATTCCTACTATTTATGGCAATACCAGTTAAGGAGTTCAGAAGGTAGGAGAAACAGTGAAAAATGCAGTAGCTGACTTAGTTAATGAGACTACTTACAGTTTTAACATTAAATATGGCTTTATCTGCTTTGCTGGAACAGGACCTAACGAACATAACAAAATCCAACCTGTAGTGCACAAAGCTAGAATTTGAAGAGGTTTTTAAGTCACCATAGGATTTTTGTTAAGTATATTAGAGAACTGACCACTTGGTGTTGCTCTTCTACTCTTGAAGAAATTCAAAATAGAAAATATTAAATCATCATTATTCTGTATTCTTTAAGATGACTACTGATATTATGATAATGAGGCTGACTGTTGGAAGTAATCATGGCTTATGTCTTGAAGAGCTAAGCATTAAAGGAAGCAGTGTTTTGCTGTTAGTATTCTACCCCTTTTCTAGTTTGAGTACCTCTTCATATCTGGGAAATTTCACATGGAACCCAAAAAGTACAAGGCTAAAGTTCTGTCAGTCCTTTAGAAGAAAGTGTGAATAGCTAAAAACGACACTTCCAGTGTTGCATTTTCTCTAGAGGCGTTCTACAAGTGATGCACTGTTTGTCAACCTTCTTTTCCTTGTATGCTGAGCATGCTGAACTTGGCATTGAGGTTATTTTTCATGTGTGCCTTTCTCCAGATGGTGGTTATTTGTGTAACTATTCTGCAAAGGAATGTATATGTTTTCTGTTTCTTTGTTAAAATAGTGATCAGTATTTATGAAGAAACACATGCCCACTCCATGGCATTCGGGGTACAGACTTACCAGGGAAAAATTAAAGTGTTTGAATAGGAAATGATGTTGTTTAACTATTAGCAGTTGAATCAGCTGCCTGCCCCTTTTCAAGAAAATGGGATCCATAGAGCCCTGCAAATCCATGGATATCTCCTTTATATCTGGGGGTATCTGCATCCAGGAATATGGATATGGATATCCACAGCTCATTTTTGTAGATATGGACGAAAATAAAAAGTTTGTATCTAAAACCCTTCAAATTTGTGGATATTCACAGATCATTTTTGCAGATAAGGATGTGGACACCAATTGTATATCTGCATAGGGCTCTATCCATAAATGAAGCTGGATGTTTCCATGCAGAGAATTTTGCAGATGAAATTTTAAAGAGAACTACCCATCCTCATCATGATGAAATCAAACCTTTGATTCTCTTAGGATCTGAATGTGAGATGTGATGGTGTGTGCTCTGAATGCAGATGCCACACTACATTTACTCTGAATACAAGAATGAAATGGGGCTGGTTAGGTATTTTTGCTTTGTTCCATAATTGTGCTAATTATTTTCATCTTTATTATGTCTCTTTGTTGACAGGTGGCTCCTAAGGGCCTGCAGCAGGTTATCACCATGTCCTGTGGATCCTGTTCTAATGAAAATGCCTTTAAAGCAATATTCATGTGGTACAGGGTGAGTCAAAATAACTGAGCATGGTTATTTACAGTACTGCGGCACCTACACAATGGCATGGATATTTCATAAGAACTGAATCTGCATGGAATGCATTCCTTTAGTTATATAATTATGGATTAAATTGTAGAAAACAGAATAGATCTTTGCACCTTTAACTTTCTCTCCTATCTGTTGGACCACCTGGAAAATTCCAGATGTGTCAGTGGTTTTCCCACTACAAAACTAATACTTTTTCTTTTCTCACTGTGCCTCCTTCCCTTGCTCAGAATTAGGTGGCTCAGGTAAAAATAGAGGTAGTAAATACACATTTTGCTTGAACAAGTGATTACTTAAAGATCTGCTCTCTCTTGAGCTGACAGAGCTCCTAATAGAGGCTGTACTTCTGTCCTGGTTTTCACAATGTTTATTTCAATTCCAGTCTGCTACAAATTCCACACTGAAAGGAGGGAGTAATATACAGGGCCTTGGGATCCCTTTATGTGAATTCTAAAAAACATAAGAACATGGAATATACAAAGCAAGTATCAGCCAATGCAGCAGCATTCCTTCCTCCCTCTTTACCATCACGAATCCTGTGACTGATGCAGCTCAAAACCCTCCATCACACTTTCTCAGTAACCAGAAATTCTACCCTCAACTGTATGTTCTCTGACAATGCCATATGCAAACAAGCGAGCTTTGCAGTATATACATTTGGACTATTTCAGACGTGGGTGTGCTTAGGGGAAAAGGGGGACAAAAGCATTCTGAAGGAAAGAAAAGCTGCTCATGCATCTGTGACAGTAACTCATTGGAAGTGGGTAGAGGGAGGGACAAATACCAAGCAGCACCATTCTATCCTGAAGCTGGTAGGCCCATATGGCTCATAGAAAAACTATTTTGGAAAAGTTTCATTCTTCCAAAATTATGCAGTGCATTTTTCTTTCTGGTATTCCAAGTCCTGCATGTGATTCTAGGGTTTAGAAGTTGGTTACAAAAGTATCAATGATGTCGTATTTTTAAACAAACATTTTTTTCAAGCTTTTATCTTAAGTTGCTGCCTAAACTAAACACACAAGGGTCAGGTATAAAATCTTTGCACTAGTGTGGAAAGACAGCATTTGGCTGTGGATCTTACAGCACTGCAGCTGACCACTGTAAGGTTTCCTGAATAGCAGCTCTACGTGGTGGAAGAGAACTTTCCCACCACCATAATTAACCCTCCCCCACAATGAATAGTGGTAGCTATGTCAGTGGGAAACACTGTCCCGTCAGCATAGCGCTGTGCACACCAGTGATTTTGTTGGTAAAACTTCTGTTGCTCAGGGGCATGAAAGAGTGCTAGTGAAGACAAAGCCTGTGTAACCAGCAGCTGTGCTCATTCACAGTCTGTCTCCTAATATCGTGAACTAAACTAGTGCTGGCCAAATCTTGTTAACATTTCTGTGTGTATAAGATGAATACTGAATTGAATGATTTGGGGTTATACACACTACCAGCTGCAGCAACCATTTATTTAAATCCATATGCTGTTATTTCTTATATATTATAGTCATGCCCAAAGATCCCAGTTAGGATTCATGCCCCACTGTCCCTCCCTAATGTTAACATAGATAAAGAGAGAGTCCCTGGTCTGGAGAGCTTACCAACTAAAGATGCTAATCTGAGCCATAACAAAATAGGTAAGACCCTTCATTCCTCTTTTGACTTTCAGAGTAAACATATATAATGCCTCTAATGCTAGATCATCCCACACATGAAATGCATAAGAAACAACTCTTTTCAGAGGAAAAAATCACTGTCCACTTTAGGTTAAACAAACTCATAATTAGTTAAAAGAATGAAGAGTGGACAAACCTTGGAGCTTCCACTACATCTCAAATACTGAAAAGGTTTATTCTCTTTTTAAAAAGAGAGAAATAGAAGGGATTTTCTGCCTTATCATGCCCACTCTTGATAGACGTGTGCCTCTTAAGCTTTGGAGATCCCATATAATTTGTGTCTTAATGTTCCATATATGGTTTCATCAAGTCTGCCATTTCTGCTGTGTAATCCTTCAGACACTTTTTTCTGTGGGATTTTGCAGCAAGACTTCACCTGCAACTAATGTGAGATTCATCTAGCACAGCTTATGAAACCCTCTTTCATTACTTTTGCAGAACAAGGAAAGGGGTAATAATAATGTCACAAAGGAAGAATTGGAGACGTGCATGATTAACCAGGTAACTTTATTATTCTGTTTATTATCCAGAGTATTTGTATTTAATTTGTTTACAGAAAAAAATCCCATGCTTTCTAACACTATGATGGAGCCTAGTACTTAAAAGCTTCAAGAATGGTCAATTACTGCTCACTCCCAGCCAAAATTCTGGCCCTGCTACTGGCATCCTGCTACCCTCTCGAGAATAGTTGTGAATTGTTTTAAAACTGCCCTCTTTCTGATATGCCATCTGCTAGAGAGACGGGCATGTGCTGGGAGACTGTGGGGAATAAATAATAAAGATTAGAACATTAACAGTCCTATTAATTTTTTCCCAAAATGTAGTTTAATGACAAAATTAATCAAGAAGCTAGTTTGCCATGGAATAATTACATGGGAGCAACAAATTAAGATACAGCTGGAAATCCTGTTTAGTACTAGTTCAACTTCAATCCAGTCATAAACATTAATACAAAAGATTATTAATGAAGTTGGGGAATGTATTTAATTTAGGATCCCTTCTAAGATGTGAGCATCTTGGAAATTACAGGATCTACAGCTCCAAGGCCAGATCCTTGGCCTAGGGTACATTCCTGTCATGTTGCTCCAGTGGTACAGTGCTTAAAATTCTCTTGAATTGGACCAAAGCCAAGGTGAGAACTAGGCACCTGAGCATGCTGTGTTCTTGCGATCGTGAACTGGTAGAATGATCTCATAGTGACCATTCCAGTTGGCATAAGGTAGAGCAATGGCTGATCTGATTTACATAACAATCCAGGATTGAGCACAGTAGTAGATGTGCTAGAACTACATCTTGTGTGAATTCATTGCAGTTTAGGATTTTTTTTCTGTTCCCAGAAAGGTTATCTTCTATGAATGTCCCACTGAGCGCATAGAATCATAGAAGACTTGGATTGGAAGAGACCACTGGAGGTCATCCAATCCAACCGCCCGCTCAAAGCTGAATCAGTCCTAACTTGGGGTTCACCAGCCTTGTGATAACGAGGCCCATCCTTTTATAGTATGACGTTAAGGCACTTCCTTTCTCTGTTCCCAGGAGCTAGGCCTGCTTTTCTCTCCAATGCTCCAGTAATAATTCAATGCCACTTTACTGTTGTTATCTCAGCCAGACTATTAGTATTTGGTTTGTTTGTCATCGCTAGATCTCCTCTGCTTAGCAGCTCTGTAGATAGTTCCTCAGCCAATTGATAAATTAGTTTAGATGGAGTTCATTGTCCCAGACAGGACCTTTGCCTAGAGACAGGGCATGCCATGATCATCAGGCTTCAAACCGTGTGTTTCATGCAGAAATCTTATGCACATGAGATTGTCTGTAGTGCCTCAGCAAGGAGCACATTAGTGACAAGTACCAAATTTGCACATCATTCAAGCCCTGTGTGACGACGCGTTGGGGTTCCCCCGCCTCCTGCACCCCCGAAATGGCACAAACAGACTCCACCAGCCAGTAGAATAGAGGTGGTTTATTGCTTCTCCAGCATACAGTACAGCACAGATGTCATCAGGTTACAGGGCAGGCCTAGGATGCCTCAGCCCCCCTTGATATGGGGGGGGGTTTCGGCTTCTAAACCCCCCAGCCTGTTGCTGAGGCTGTTTCCTCCATCCTCCCAGACAGAAACTAAACTAACTCTCCTCCAGCCCTGCCCCCCAGCCAGGGCAGCATCCACCTTCCTTTGATTCTCTCCCTGGGGGCTAGCTGGTCAGACAGGTTGAGACACCCTCTTTGCATAATGACTCATCGCCTGTCTTGCTCGGTGGTGCTACGGACAATAGCCAGTGAGTTAGCAAGTTCCCCCCCACTACGTCACACCCTGTACCAATAAGGAAAGGGACATTCGCTTGTGGGTACTCCTAACAGAATTGGCAGTGTCCCTGGGAGGGGAGCAGGCGCTGATTTTTAACCTCAGACACCATGCCTCTGGCATGGAATGTCCCCTCAGTGCCTTCTTCCAGTCAGCACCATTAACCCTAAGCGGTCCCAGTATGGAAGGTAAAGACTTCAACCAAGGTCTGCTCCTCTCTGCTCCAAAAGGCCATGGAGAAAAAGGGAGGGGATCCTAGACCTGCATGTGGTAGCTCATCACCTCTGCAAGGAAGTTGAACTTGAAGCAGAGTGGCCCAGCCTGTAGTGTCAGCAGGGCAGCAACAATGGCCTGTGGAATCTAGAGGCACCCTTGATTTCCCATTTTCTCCTGGCCTGGACCGCAATAACGTTAGACCACTGGGTCTGGGCTATTGTTCCCCAGGGTTATACCCTTCAATTCCTTTCCATCCCCCAGTTCCACTCCCCTGCCCTGTCCCTCTTCAGGGACCCTTCTCATGTAAGTCGTCTTGTACAGGAGGTTCAGGAATTGTTGCAGATGGGTGTGCTGTAGGAAGTTCTGCTTGAGTTCCGGAACGAAATTCTTTCCTGTTAATTCCTAATTCCAAAGGGTAAAGGAGGTCTACAGCCCATTCTAGAACTGAGAGATCTGGTCTGCAGGGTTTTCTTACTTCAAGTGTTGGGCAAGGTGGTGAGATTCCTCATGGCCTCAATATTTTATATAAACAGACAAGGGGGAGACACACTTCACCATGCTATGCCAGGAGACACTCCTCCTCTGGGATTTCTGTATCAGCCATAATATCCATCTGGAGGCAGATCACCTCAGCAGGGATTTCTCACCACAAGTGGTCACTGCACTAAAAACTGGCCTCCACAATTTTTCTGGAGGTGGGAGACTCCCCAAATAGACCTTTTTGCCACTAGGCAGAAAAGGAAGTGCCACCATTTCTGCTCCCAGTGGGACCTGGGCAAAGGCTCCCTCTCAGACACCTTTCTCCTATCATAATCTAAGGGCCTCCTCTATGTGTTCCCAACAATTCCTCTCATCAGCAGGGTCCTAGTCCTTGATTGTTCCAGTCTGGCTTTGCCAGCATTGGTTCTGGACATTACTGAACTTGGTGATATACCCCCCAGCCCTTCTGGACCAGTTATCTCAGGACCAGAGCCAGCTCCTCCATCCCAGCCTCGCATCCCTACATATCATGGCATGGATGTTCCATGGCTGAGAAAGGCGGAACATACCTTCTCGGCAGAGGTCCAGTAGGAAACCTTCCACAAGCGAAGGTTGGTGAGGTTCTCCCACTGGGAGATGGAGCGAGGCATCTCTCCAGAACATACTCCAATATAGTTGGTTCTCTGCTACCTGCTACAACTTCAGTGCCAAAGCATGCCATATCCCTCTAGTAAGATGCATCCCTTGACCATCTCAGCTTTCCATAGGCCAGTCCAAGGTCAGACAGTGTTTCAGCATGACATGATGGTGAGGTTTCTGTGGGGTCTCGAGTGACTTTATCTGCAGCTGTGGGGTCCTGTCCTCCATTGGGATCTTAACTTAGCCCTGGATGTCAGAAGGCCCTTGGCCTTTCATTCTGCAAGTCATCTCAGTTGGCTGGCCAACTGGATTACCTCATCTTATTTGGACCTGCTCTGATCTAGCCGGGGTTACCCTGCTGTGGATCTTGTGGACCCATTCAACTAGAGGCCAGGCATCATTAGTGACTTTTCTAATGTGGAATGGACATGAGCTATCTCTCTCGAAGAAAAGACCATTACATTTTGTAACTGATGTTCTTTGAGATGTGTTGCTCATGTTCATTACACGACCTGCCCTTCTTCACCACTGTCAAAGTTTCTAGCAAGAAGGAACTAAGGGAGCAGGGCCTTAGGATTTATGGGGCCCTACACAGTACTATTAAACTGGTGCTCCTATTCCCAATGGCAATCTGAGAGAGAGGGGACATGATTTTTAGAAAGGTGTTTTATAATCTTCAGGAACACACTAATGGAATATTTTAAAGCGAATTGTAAACCAAGACCATGAAGGCTAATAGTAAATTCAGAAACTGACAGTATATACCGGGGATTCCAAATGCTGTTAAGTGGCTCCATTACTACTCAAATGGTTCTTTCACAGGTCCAGTGCTAATAGGTCTGGCAGGCTTTCTCACTATTTAGCTAATGGCATATTAGGTTGCATTAAGAGGAGTATTGCCAGCAGATCCAGAGATGTGATTATTCCCCTTTATTCAGCTCTGGTGAGGCCACATCTGGAGTATCGTGTCCAGTTCTGGGCCCCCCACTACAAAAAGGATATGGATGCATTAGAGAGGGTCCAGCGGAGGGCAAACGAAATATAAAAGGAATAAAGACTATTTCTTGGCAAAGAAATTTATACATGTACTTTACTAAACTTGCTGCCTTAGTTGAGGCAATAGCTAAAAGTGGCAAAAATCTTGCGCTCTCTCACTCTGATGAACATATTCTTGACCAGACTTTTGTTTACATGTAGAATGCTTGTGTGTGTTGTACAATTCAGTTATGTAATCCTCCTTATGATTCCATTCCAGTGAGCTGCACTGCCACCTTCCTGTTGTTTGAATAATTCAGACACATATCCTGTGTTTGGTTTCAGGCTCCAGGCTGTCCTGATTATAGTATTCTGTCCTTTATGGGTGGATTCCATGGAAGAACGATGGGTAAGAAAAACACTTCCCCCTTTTCCTTTCTCAACAGATATTAGACACAGCAGTGCATATTTATCTCATTTTATTTAAACCTTTCAAAATGAAAGGTTCTTTTGCAATTGATAGAAATATGATCAGTAAAAACACATTGATTCATTAAAATATCAGTTTAGGCCCATAGTTTTGCCATGTACACTATTAATAATCTATCATTCTAGGTGACAGGTTTCACAAGATACTGCTTAATACCATTTGGTTCTGCCAGTGCAGATGGGAGAGTTTCATGTGGTAAACATATTACTTAACTGCTACAGCTTGGAACTTTGAGGAGCTGTAGATTGATTGAGAACATGGTTTGGTCCTCTCAGTAACTGGGAAGAGGAAACACAGTTTTAACCAAAGTGGCTGTTACCCTCCTGTAAGCAGATTCTCCTAACTTTTTAAAAAATACTTTTAAAATAGTGTAGATGCCATCCGACTCCTCAGAATGATGCTCTGACTAGTAGAAATGCACTTGTGCATTTTCAAACTCAGTGAATATTGCAGGATAATCTTATATAAATAAAATGGAATCATCCAGTCCTTTTCAATAGCCCAGTAGAAGTCTGATTCTCCCCTCTCAGAATGTTTCTTTCCATATTTCTTTCAATATTTCTAATGAGCTTTTGTTTTAATTTTGGTTTTTTTGGGGGACTTAGGCTGCTTAGCTACAACTCACTCTAAGGCAATTCACAAATTAGACATCCCCTCGTTAGACTGGCCAATTGCTCCATTTCCAAGACTACAATACCCCCTGGAAGAGTTTGTGAAAGAGAATCAACAGGAAGAAGCCCGCTGTTTAGAGGAGGTGAGTACTTCACTGGCTGAATTCTGTTTTCATTTTGAAATAATGAATATGGGATTATCTGCCACTAACATGAAAGAAAAAATTCAGGAATTGGAATAGCCCTAAGCTGTTATGGTTAAAAGATTGCCTCTGCTGCCATTTAAAAAGAACTATCTACTGTGAAATTGTGAATGATATGCAGAAATTTGCCCCCAAATAAATTTCATGTGCAAAGAAAGGTTTGTTTAAAAATATCTGAATTAATTTTCTCTCCGAAATTAGGGAGAGGGAAATGTGCACAAGGGTGAGCCTCAATGTGCTTAGTCCTCTGAAAAACAACTTTGTAAAAGTAACATAGGTTTTCCTGATTTACGTAGTACTAGAAGACTTACCCAGCATTGCCTGGGGCAGTGGCCAAGGCTACCTGTCTTCTCCCCAGGGATCACCCGGAATGGCAGGGACCACTCTGCCTGCCTGCTGACATCTTTCTGGGGCCAGCTTGTTGCAGGGGGAGCCCCACCAGCTTCTCCCTGGGGCAGGTGGGAGGGGGATTGTACAGGCTGCCCACCGGCTTCTCCCCAGGGCCAGTCTGGAGCGGTGGGGGCTGCATGCCACAGTGGCTGGGAGCTGCTCCCCAGGGTGACAGACCATGTTGCCAGCCAGTGGCTGCTTCCTGGAGCTGGGCCACTTGCTTCCCCTGTTGGTCATTTGTGAATATAACTCTCCCTGCTCTCACACCCCTCCCTTTCCATTTGATATGAAACAATCACATTCCATGTACATCCCATTGTCTTGGCACAACTAAACCCTGATCTTGCTTTACGTTATGATAAGAGGAAGCTGCCTACCAAATTTGGTGGTTCTAGCTCTTACTGTTTTAGGAGACGTTTTTGAACAGATCGATGGATGGATACACAGTCAGATGCACCAACTCTCTAAGGGTATGTCTACACTACAGCACTAATTCAAACTAACTTAATTCGAATTAGTTAATGTGAAATAAGCTAATTCAAATTAGTGCATCTAGACCTAAAAACTAATTTGAATTAGCGTTTTGCTAATTCGAAATAGCATGTCCACATTGAGTGGACCCTGAACCAAAGTTAAGGCTGGCCGGAACCACTGACGGCAGGGCATCAGGTTAGGACTTAGAGTGTAGAGCTGCTGCCTCAGGCTAGCCAAGGGCTGTGTTTAAAGGGACATGACCCCTACCCCGGACAGACAGTTCTCAGGGTTCCCCGCTTGCTTGTCTAACTCGATGAGGGACAGCAAAGCAGTCCTGTCTTGGAGTGCCCTGACTGTCCACACTCGGCACATCACAGCACTCGGCCATCAGCCCGGCTGCACTTGCCGCAGGCTGCCATCTGGGGGGGGTCAATTGGGGACCAGTCAGGATCCAGGAGGCCCTGCAGGAGAGCTTCCACCCTGAGGAGCCCGCAGAGCCACCCCAGTCCTCCGCTCGTGCCCCATTCTTCCCTCACCTCCTTCCACTTACCCCTCCCTAGCCCCCCTTCCTGATGTAAAAAATAAAGGACACGTGTGTTCAAAAATAGAAACTCTCTTTATGGGGGGGGTCAATTGGGGACCAGTCAGGATCCAGGAGGCCCTGCAGGAGAGCTTCCACCCTGAGGAGCCCGCAGAGCCACCCCAGTCCTCCGCTCGTGCCCCATTCTTCCCTCACCTCCTTCCACTTACCCCTCCCTAGCCCCCCTTCCTGATGTAAAAAATAAAGGACACGTGTGTTCAAAAATAGAAACTCTCTTTATTTAAC